TACTACTACTACTACTACTACTACTACTAACTACTACTACTACTACTACTACTACTACTGCACTCCCAACTACCACTACTACTACTACTACTACTACTACTACTACTACTACTACTACTACAGCCCTAACTACTACCACTACTACTACTACTACTGCTGCAGCTTCAACTACCACTACTTCAACTACTACTGCAGCACCAAATACTTCTACTGCAAACCTCATTACAGTTTATAAAATCGTGTCCCTTTAAAGTCTGACACGTTCTTCTCTTAAACCCTGTGACTTTTTAGATTCCAGGTTCTCGATAAATCAAACTAATGTCCTCATTGTTCTATTGTGGCGCGGGAGGGGGGACGTGTACGGGAGCGAGGGGGAGGGGCCGGTCTAGACCCACGCCCTTTGACCCCGGGCCGAGGGCGCGCGCCGACCCGACTCACGTGAAGCCCGTTTAAAAAGCGGGGGGAAGACAGGAAGCTGCCCGCAGTCCTCCCTGTCGACACAGTTGGCACAAATCAGGCGTTTCCTGCTCCCCCGAGGCCCCGCAGGAAGAGGCTCTGAGTGTGTTTCCTACATTTGTGAACGAAGACAGGTTTCACAGAGCTACAGGCCGGACTTAAAACGCCGACAGGTTTCACAGACTCACAATACACGCTGGATTTAAAGAGCCCATACCACGTTTCCCCGTCACAAACACACCTGGAGTTGTGTTTTGTTTCATTCACACTCATAAATCTTGCATTTTTAGACTGCGTTCCTCTCTCAAATTAAAAGCACTCTTGTTTTTAAACTGCGTAATACAAGTGTAACGGTACAAAAATCAAGGTTCAGTACGTGACTCGGTTTTGAGGTCATGGTTTGGTTCATTTTGGGTTCAGTTTGGGAAAAAGCAGAAGCATTTTCATTTGTGTTTTTGTTTTAACATTATGCAAACGGGAAAATAAAATAAATACAAAGTGCAACAAATGTTTGAAATATTATAGAAAATGAATTCCTTGTAAATAGTAAACAAAACTTTTCAAAAAAGTAAAGAGCAGCACTGGCAGTTCCAGTATGAACTTTTACTCAATCTTCATATTTTTGGCCATGCAGTCCTTGCGGAACCTGACGCAAAACAGTGTGTGTGCGCGACACATTTTGAAAACTCATTGGGCAGAAGCTGGACCACACAATGTGGGAGCAGGTGGGTGGGATGACAAACTGCAGTCCCGCAAACGAACGCGTACGTCAGGCAGACCGCCACCCCCCCAGTACATCGTGTGGGCTGCACCACTAAACCCGAACTAAACCCGAACTAAACCCGAACTAAACCCGAACTAAATCCGAACTAAACCCGAACTAAACCCGAACTAAACCCGAACTAAACCCGAACTAAATCCGAACTAAACCCGAACTAAACCCGAACTAAACCCGAACTAAATCCGAACTAAACCTGAACTAAACCCAGAACTAAACCCGAACTAAACCAGAACTAAACCAGGTCTAAAACAGGACTAACTCCCTCCGTTCCTCAAAATATTGTCTGATATAAACCAGTCGGTGGCACAAAAAAGGCCGGGGACCACTGTTTTTTTCTGTGTTTGATAGAGCTTAAGAAAGCGAACATCATCATCTTGCGGGGCTTAAGGGCGGGAGCGGGACAAAATATCGCAGATGGGGGCAGGGGCGGGACTGAAAATTCTGTCCCACGCAGACCTCTAGTGCAGATCTGCTGCAGTTCCAACGCCCCCAGCGGTTGAAAATACTCTTTTGCTCGAGACGGAAGTCGTTTGTATGTTGAGGGATTCCGTGCTGGCGAAAGGCGTAGTTTTGTGAGGATTCACGTGGTTTGGAGGGACGTAGTCAAGACCGGGGGGCATTTGTTGTCAAGGTGGCCGCCCTAACTATAAAGCGCTGCAGGAAACACTGCCTCAATCACAGATGAGTTCCCTTGTGAATATTAAAGGTTGTATAGAGGATTTTCCAAGGAACGAGAAATCCAGCGACTGTTTGTCCTTTTTCAAATGTTGCTCCTGCGTGAAACCACCTCCCCTCCCCTACAGCTCCTACGTAGAAACACCTCCTCCCTCCTCCTCCTTACGCCAGAAACAGGTTTGTTTACAGCCGGTGCTGCACATGACTTGTAAACAACTAACTACAGTGTTGGTTAGACAAGACGGAGAAGTGAGGAGCGGCAGGGAGAGAAGAGCGGAAACGGACAGCGGGGAGAGGAGCAGGAAAGGGGTGCAGAGAAGGTTGCGCGGAGATTCAGTGCGAATGAACTAACTACAACACGCAGCAGCAAGCGGACTCTTTCTTTGCCTTGAAAATTACGTTTTCAGACATAGGATATCACATTCATATCCTGAAAAACGTTTGTCTAACTCTTGGAAATAAAGTACGTTTTCATAATAAGCAGAAGTTTCCTGTCCAGGAGTAATTTGTGGACCAGTGCGTCAGTCTTTAGACCCTTCGTCTGCTTCAGTTGCGCCATCGCTGGAATGAATCTACAAGAATCACCTTAGTTTGGCTTCGCTGCTTTTCCCCTTGTCTTCTTCTTTCAGCGACCTCAAAAATGGGGACTTTAGGGTTTTGCGGCGAACTGCTTCTGGATTCTTGTCGCCATTGCAACAAACTTTGTGCGAACTGCGAGGAAGATATAGGTCAAAAAAGCCGCTAAGAACTGTTGCGTTGGTGGAGTAAACAGCGTCTGTGCGTCTTGCGTCTGTGGACTGCGTGACAGTCGTACGTAAACCACGTAACGGCGGCGCAGGCAAGTCAGTTACACTAGAAACGTAGGGAGTTTGATTGACAGCCTGTCAGCTCACAGATAACGAGGCAGTGTCGTTATCTATTGGCAAATGTTTAGCCCCACCACGTCCAGAGTTGATGAATTTTTATTCTCTTTTTTTTGGTCATCATAATTACAAGGCTACTGCATCTTTATAATCTATCATTGACAATTTGAAACAAAAAAAAAATCCTCCATACAACCTTTAAAGAGCAGAGCCTCTGTGTAGCTGCACATATAGTGGGGGAATGTAAATACACACAAACTGCACAAACTCACTCGTGCACAGACCTGCACCAAACCCAACGTCTCGTACTGAAACAGTTCAGCACGAATATATGAATAGTTACACTCCTACTGCACACACCTTCACTACAATCATCTGGATCATTTCAGTCCTGGAATTTCCCGTCTCTATTGAACTGAAGGTAAAAGGAGCTGTTCACTTGAAAACTACATCTTCATGACATCACAAGGTGGAACAGAACATTTTGAGCTTTAGAGATGTAGACAGACTAATGATGCTTTCAGACCGGGACGTTAAAAAACTCGCTGTCTTAGACGACATGGACCAATGGGAGAAAAATACTTCACGTGTTTCCAGGGCGCCCATTGCCCTGGAAACAAACGCCATTTCCCATCTTTTGCCAGGAATGATAAACCAGACCAGACAGAGAGTTTTTCTTTTTTTTTTAGCGTTTTTATCACATAAAACCATCAGCAGAGGAGATCGGCTCGACGACTGCGGCATGAATATATTTACTCTCTGCTAATGACAATGGTTCAGTCCTGGTTTAATCTTGGTTTAGTCCTGGTTCAGTTCTGCTGTAATCTTGGCGATTGACTTGGCGGTTACGGTGTGTATATATATTTATGATCCGCTGATGACACGGCGTAGATTTCTTGTTCACGTGTTTGTGGCTCCCGTTTTTTTTCATGGGTCTTTCTTCTTCTTCCTGATAATAATGCCACTACATCACTGGAAAGTCGTCTCTGATTGGTTGACGCGGTGCTTCCGACGCTAAAAGTTCAGCATTTTCAACTTCAGACACCGACACCCTGAATGTGCGTCTAGAGACTCAAGACGCGTCAACGCCAGATTCGCTTCAAAACGCAGGACGCCCTAGACGCACGTCCACTTAGAGTTTCACGTAAACTGGACGGCTTGACGTTCCGCTCTGAATGGACGAAAAAAAATAAAGTGTTACTCAAACGTGTGAATGAAACAAAACAAAACTCCACAGTGTTTTTGGTTTGAAAGAAGAATTCATCCTAAATTTGCAGGATTTTGTGCGTTAAAAGTTGCACTGTGTAACTTTCTGATTGGACGTTCGTCACTTGTTCTGCTTGTTTCTATGGAGACGTCATTTCTCTGCCTGGAACGTTCCACAGTGTGACATTAAACTTTTATTCACATACTTTACATTTATTCAATCTCAGGTGATTTTAAAGCTCAAAAATACCTCGAAAAACAAACAGGAATTCTGACTGTGAGCGGCGTCGCCTCTCCACAGATCTGACCTCTCTGCGTGAAGACAGAAAGGTTTAAAGCCGCACTGTGGAAACATTTCAGACAAGAGAAAAGCATTTGACAGCAGAGCCTCCACCAGAAAATGTACACAATGCAGCTTTAAACATGCGTGAATGAAACAAAACAAAACACAACTCCAGGTCTGTTTGTGACGAGAAAACGACATTAAAACACAGAAAAAGAAAAAGAGAAAACAGAGTCACACGGGCCTTTAAAAAAAAAAAAAAGCCCCATTAGCCACATGCAGGCTCCAGGCTCCAGGCTCCAGGCTAACGGCGCACATCCTGGAAGGAAAGAGAGAAGAATGGGTTTTACGCAAAGGCCACGTCCTGTTTCAGTTTTTACATTTGCACGTGTTTAAACAGAAACACGTCGCCCTGAATCACTCTCTCCTCTGCGCTCCCTCTCTCTTCTTTTTTTAGTTTTACTTCATTGGAAATTCCTGGGCTGAAATGATCCAAATGATTTATTTATTTGTTTATTATTAGTATAAAAAAGATATTAACAGTGTCCTAATAATATGATAACTTTGTCCTGAAGTAGAATTTTTATCATTTTTGTTTACATTTTTGTTGGGGTTTTGGTTTTCTCACCTGCTCAAATTAAAAGTGTGAGACAAAGGAAACCTTTTTTAATCTTTCTTAAACCTCAGCTCTCGGTTCTAACTCGCGTTTTGTGTTTTTTGTTTTTTTGTTTTGCAGCAGATCTCGCAGCTCCTGTCTCTGCTCCGACAGGGCCAGCTCCAGCCCAGGACCAACTTCAGAGGAAACAAGTTCTCCCACCGCAGGTAAATACACCTGTCCGAACGCCCGCAAGGTCTGTCGCAGCGAGAAATCTGCGTCTGAGCACCTGTAAGTTCTACCGTCGCAGGCCAGTACTGTGCCTCTGTATCTGAACACCTGTAGGCGGAATTTCTTTCTCTGAACACCCGTCAGTTCTATTGCAGCGGGTGAGTAGGTCTGTCTGAACACCTGTAAGGTCTACCGCCGCAGGTCAGTGCCTCTGTGTCTAAACAAACTGGTGTATCAGCGCAGAAATCTGTGTCTGATCGCTCGTAACGTTTACCACCACAGGTTAGTCGGCTTGTCTGAACACCTGTAAGGTCTGTCAAAGCAGGTATTTATATCTGAGCACCTGTAAGGTCTATTATAGCGGGTCAGTGCCTCTGTGTCTGAATGTGAACAGCTGATAGTTCTCCTTTCGTAGGTAAATAGGCCCATGTGCACCTGTATGGTCTACGATAGCTGGTAAATAGGCCTGTGTATCTGAGCACCTGTAAGGTCTATCCATATATTGTATAAAAGAATGGACATAGCCAACGCACTAACCACCACGTTCCGAAAAGGAAGTTCTCCAGGAGGCTCTTCCGGCTCCTTCTGACTCTGGCTCCAGGTGTCTTACATTAGGATCTTGTGGCTCCTCTCTCTGTAGCTGCTGCTGTGAGCCTCGTTATTTTGGTCTTAAAATGTTTGTATTAACCCACGACACAGGATCCTGAATTTTTCATTTTGATAGTTTGTGTCTAAATCAAGATATGAACATAAATAACAGACCAATCAGATGCATTTATTCCCCGAGGTCACTCCCTCTACCGTGAGCAACAGGTTTGATTGACAGTTACTGCGTTTCATTCATGGATCTTTTAAAATAACTGAAGGGTGTTGCTGCTTGTTGCTGCCTCCAGTTGGTGTAGTGACACTCACTGAAAAAAAAAACATGTACAGTGTTGGGGAGTAACAGATTACATGTACCGGAGTTATGTAATCAGAGTACAAATGATGAGTAACTGTATTCAGTTACAGTTACTGTTTCAGTGAGTGGTAATTGGATTACAGTTACTTTGTTGAAATAAATGGATTACATTATTACAGGATTTTCACATTTTGGGCTATATCGCTTTTTTTTTTTTTTTCTGTAATTCCACTCATTGCCGGACACTAAACCAGGACTAAACCAGGACTAAACCAGGACTAAACCAGGACTAAACCAGGACTAAAGCAGGTCTAAAACAGGATTTAACAGGACTAAATCCTGCTGCGTGGACGTGTCTCTCTTCTTCTATCAATAATATTTTTAATTTGGTTCAGTAAAGTCTGGGCTTTTTAAAATTTTTTTTTAGCAAATAAAACTTCTTATGTTACGATTTCCTCGTCTTTGTTTCTCTACAGCAAATCAACTAATCCAAAGTATTCAGATTACATTACTCACTTTAAGTAATTTAATGGATTACATTACAAACTACATTTTGGAGATATGTAATCTGTAATCTGTAGGGGATTACATTTTAAAAGTCACCTTCCCAACACTGCCCACGGGCCGAGAGAGGATTTTTCTCATGAGCACAATGTAATCACAAACTGCTCGTGTTCAGCTGACAGGGACTTTCAAAAATGTTGCATTTTGTGGCGATTTTTACATATTTGTACATCAAAAACTTTTTCTCAGCTCAAAATCCTTCAGTTGTCTTAAAAAAACACTTTATAATCGTTCGGCTCCTCTCGCTCTGATTGGTCAAAGTGATCACGTGATACACGAGCCCGCGCTCCACTACTGCACATGCTCAATCAACCAACAGCCACCGGAAGAACCTCTCCGGGCTAAAGGTGAATCTGGAGTCACGCGTCATTGACCTCAGCCCGTTGACTTGAATGGGCGGCCATTTTGAAACCCCGGGGCTTGGTTTTGTTGCTCAGCCCCCTTCCTGTTTTCCGGTGAGAAGATTTAACAACCTCAGTCATGATTGGCTCTTGTGGTTGCTATGATACTTGAGGTCGGATTTCCAAATATGGAGCCTTGTGCCAAATTTGCTTCTGTAACGAGAGCTTCATTTGAGTGGAGCTGAACGCTGTGGGTGAGGACCTGGGGGAAGTGTCTGGGGTGAAGGAAATCTGATAGTCCCTGTTTGGACTGTTGCCCGCGCAACCTGGCCCTGGATAAGCAGAAGAAAATGGATGGATGGATGAACGCTGTGGGTGACGTCACACTCGCTGAGTCCATTTCTTTATACAGTCTGTGGGTCTGTCATAGCAGAACTGTGTCTGAACTAGGGATGGGCATGATTAATCGATTAATCGATAATTGATCATTAAGAATTTCATCGATTACGTTAATTTTAATCGACAAACCAAATGTATGTTGCTGTGTGTATCGTGACCAAACAGGTGTGTACATGTGTCTCTGCATCAGAAGGAGCGAGACACAAACAGTCTGTAACGAACCGAAGCACAAATGTGGATTTAACGATGATTTGTACAAGAAATTCCACACTTTCCGTTGCGTTCGGGACAAGTGTGAGTCCATGTGCACAGTGTATAAAGCAGCACATATGTTTCTGTGTCCAGTGGGAAAAAGTTTTACCAGGTGAGAGTCGCTCAATGTGGATGACGAGGCCCCGCCCCCTCCCCCCGTACGCTGTCCTGGTTTTGACAAACACAAATCTGGTCACACTGACCTGTATTCACCTGAGTCATGTCTTTTAATCCTGACAGAAGTTGAACCACATCAGCGACACAAGAGCTGGAGTTTTATCTTCACTTAGTTTATGTAAATTAGTGATGCGGTTTTAAGTTTCATTTCTGTGAGATTTGAACAAAACTGAATTAAACACATTATAATGTCAAACAGCTGATGTGGATCTAGAGTCGTTACAGTTTATATGTCGTATGTTGAATTTATTTATGCAGATTAGTAGTGCAGATAGTAATAATAATGATGATCATTTTAATATAAAAACGTTAATGATTAATCGATAATCGATCGTTAATTCTTCCAACGATCGACTAAGAAAATTACATTGAATGCCCATCCCTAGTCTGAACACCTGTAAGGTTTACCACTGGACGTTACCTGTTTGATCACCTGTAAGTTAAATCACAGCAGGTCAGTGCCTTTGTATCTGAACACCTGTAAGGTCTGTCAAAGCAGGTATTGTTGGGTTTCAGATGACATCAATACATTCTCTAGGCTGATCATATTTAATTCAGATGGTGCAGCTAAAATAAATATTGTTAAATTGCAGTTTTTTGTCATAATACGAGACGTGAGTGTGTTTGCTCATTAACAGAAATGATCAGGTTCAAAGTAAAACATTTCATGGCAAAGTCCAACATAATCAAACAGGAAATCTGGCTCTTGCTCCCAGTATGACCTCATCACATCCTGGAATCTGAAAAACGGCAATTTATATCTGAACACCTGCAAGGTCTGTCAAAGTAGGTCATTACTTATGCGTCTGAACAGCTGTAAGTTCTATCGTAGCTGGTCTGTCTGAGCAGCTACACTTTTATAACGCTTGTTTGTCATAATAATCCTCAGTTTCGCAATTTTGCAATTCATCAACTCAGCTTCTACTTCGATAACTGCTACAACCACGTCTACTTCACCTCACTGTTCAGAATTACAGAGTGTTTCCCGTCCGAAGCCCAAAGCAGAAGCCCAGACTGACCAGACGAACGCAAACTAACCGCAGTCTTTTGTCTGTGAGGCTCTTCTGCGTTAAAAGTCTTGTCCTTGTTGTGACTGGGCTGCAGGAAGAGGAGTGAGGAGTGAGCGCTCTGTTGTGTCGCTGATTTGTTTCAAGGCTGAAGTCTGGCTCCAAACTCTCCGCTCACACAAACATGTCCTTTCTCCCTCTCGCTCTCTGTTTCTCTCGGTCCGGTTTCCTCTGAACATTTACCACCGTCTGTGTCAAGAGACAAACCAGTGCATCAGCTTTTCTGTTTTTATTACACTGCAGCTAAATTATATATATTTTAATAATTCTTGAAACTCTTGAAATGTTTTAAAGTTCAGTCCATGTAGCAAATGAACTATGGTGCTGGAAAGCTTCAGTTCTGACTAAAGATCGACTAAAGCTACGTTTATATGATGAACGTCTGAACAGAAGACGCAAAAGTGGCGCCGTGTCTTCGCTTTTTATTCCATGTTTAGACAAGAGTTTGCGGGAGGAAATCTGCGTGCGTACGGTGACGCAAAAGTGATCAGATCTGACCAGAGTTTTGCGTCTTGGCCAGTGTAGACGGAAACACTACGGCGGAGCGTGTTCAACTTTTACACTCTGGAGTTTGGTTTCAGATTTTTGCATTTTAAGACCCCCATAAACACCGTCACCGTCTAAACGAAAGGTACTTTTGATAAAATGTTTGTCATTTTGAGGTCACTGTTCGGTTCATTTTCGGTTCAGTTTGGGAACAAAATGCAAAACCATTTCCTTGTTGTTTATTTGTCTTTTTATTAAACCAACACTTTGTTTTAACATTTTACAAACGGGAAAATAAAATAAATGGAAAGTGCTGATTGGTAATACTAATAAGTTAAATCAAATGGTCTCAAATAAGTAACAAATGTATCAAAAATCATAAAAAATAAATTCCTTGTAAACAGTAAACAAAACTTTTCAAAAAGTAAAGTGCAGCACTAACAGTTCCAGCATCAAGTTTTACTCAGATTTTTGTCCAGTAAAAACAACTTGTCCACATGGTCTGAAGTAAGAGCAGATCTGTTGCAGTTACAGTGAGTGTGTTTACATGCACATCAATAACCCGGTTATGATCGGGTTTTTTGAGTATCCTGGTTTCTTGATGGTGCATGTAAACGCAGTAACCCGGTTATGGCAGTATCCCGGTTATTAGAAACTGGGTGACTGTAGCTGGTTTATTCCGATAGTAACCAGGATACTTGTGGCATGTAAACGCAGTACCCCGGTTACTGCAACATAAAGTTGAGTGCGCATGCGTCCAAAAGACACTTTCCAGCCTTTTTACCACAGTAAACAGTAGTGACATAAAT